TTTCTATCTTATAAAACAGATAAACAGTCTCTTAGAGAATAGGTATTTGAACCCATCTGTCCAACTCCAAAGCTAGTGCCCGCCATATCACTTACTCTTGCCATCATGATTTCCAACTCAGCCTTTTATTCCTGACCTACTGTCCCCAAAATGTAATCATCTCGACCTTTTATCAATACCTATTGATACAACTTCAAGTTTCACTCAAATTCCAGACAACAGCTTCATTGTGAAAGGGAGTTTTCTAAACCCTAAAAACTCTAAAAATGTATGTATTCCAACAGATAAGGGCTAAAGTGTCCAAGTTCTTCCTGGATACTCAATTCCAATGATTCAGGTCTTCACACATTTTCTATTTTTATGTGAATCTAAAATCATACCTCCTATAGACTTGTCTATTACTTGCACATGCAACCATGCTCATCTGCACACGCATTGCACCTGTGTGTATGCACCTGTACCTACACACACACACAAGTAACTATGAATATACCACAAAGCTTACTGAGAAGGGGTATAATCCTCAAAGGTGGGAAAGTGCTCAAATTATAACTCTGTAAATTTTGATCACTCATCATGAAGAAAAGACCAGTTCTGCTTCATCAATTTAATTTGAAATCATATTGGAGAAATCAACTTGTAGAGTTTTGAATCATATAGGAAGTCATCCTTACCGTAACTCCTTAGATTTCCACAGAAATGTATACCTACAGCTCATTTTACTCTGTAATATTCATTATAATTCTCATGACAATACTATGGGTTAAGAATGCTATTTCCAAACTATATAGGAGGAAATCGGGGTTCTGACACGTTGAGTGACTTGCTGATCTTTAAACAGCACTATCAGTGCTTCTGACCCTCAACCCAGGGATTTTCTTCTTGGCATTCTAACCCCAGTCTTTGCTCTCCTCCCACTTAACTGTGAGTGCTGAGTGGTCCCAAAAAGGTAATACATATAATTGAGTGAATTGATTTAGTCAATTGCCAAGTCCCTGTCCTAGTTGCACTTCAATCTATCTTTTATTTTGTAATTTGTTAAAAATATGTTGTTATTGACTTCAGAGAGGGAGGGTGAGGGAGGGAGAGATAGAAACATCAACGATGAGAGAGCATCATTGACTAGCTGCCTCCTGCACACCCCACACTGATATCAAGCCTGCAACCCGAGCATGTGCCCTGACTATGAATCCAACCTTGACCTCCTGGTCAACGTTCAAACCACTGAGCCACACTGGTGGGGCTAGCTTTTCTTTAGTAATTTATTGGAGCACTCTGAAGTGTTGTTTTTAAGTAATAAGAACACTGCCCTAGCTGGTTTTGCTCGGTGGATAGAGCTTGCGGACTGTAGAGTCCCAGGTTCAATTCCGGTCAAGGGCACATGCCCGGGTTGCGGGCTCGATCCCCAGTAGGGGGCGTGCAGGAGGCAGCCCATTGATGATTCTCTCTTATCAGTGATGTTTCCAGCTCTCTCTCCCTCTTCCTTCCTCTGTGAAATCAATAAAAATATAAAAAAAGTAATAAGAACAACAGCAAGAATACACAGAGAATAGATCTGTCCCCAAAATGTAAGTCAGTATATCTCCCTATTCCAAGAATCTGCATTTTCTGCTGTAGGTTGATGCTCTAGCTAGCCTTTTAGCATTGGCCCCTGATGTCAGTATCAGTTCCTGGAGCTAGCACATAGCTTCGGGCAGTTGTAATGACTCAGCCATCAAAACTTCAAGTTCAGTCCACCTGGTCCTCACCCACCCCCAGAGCCAGAGCTCCAAGAGCTCCCTTTTGCTCAACTTACTGTGGGATCTCTCCGGCTCCCTTAAAGATTCTCAGTAGCTGGCTGTCCAGCTGTCAGCTCTGTTTGTTACATAAGCAAAGAGATCTTCATGTGTTAAGTGCTCTGGGTCTTAGAAACATAGAAACATGCTGAAGAATGTTGGGCCTGGTTGGCTCACTTGAGCAAAGACCCACAGAAACACTAGCCAACTAACTGGCACTAAACAGTGAAGGAATTGGAATTTCCTTTATTCTCCTCCTCCAAAAATTCAAGACAACCCTTTACCAATTCATTCTTTTAAAAAGACAGTCCTCCACTTATTTCTTCTGGGGAACTTCTGCCTCTTCTTTGGTAACTATGACACTGTACCTCTACTGAAATGGAAAGCTACTTCCCTCCCTTCACCTTTCTTTTCTGAACTCACTAAGCAGGAAAACCAGCCCTATTAAACTCCAAAACACTCTCTATCACAAAACAAAGCCCTGGATCTGGAGCCAGTTCTGATGGAGAGCTGTTTACCGCTGCTCTGACCTGGGCTGATAATAAAGATGCAGGGTTATGATCAACTCAAACACCATCAGAAATCCTTGAGATACCAGGGAGGCGCTTTGCACATTGCAGGAGCTGTAATCAGAAAATCCTGAGTTGGCTTGAACCCCATTTCTATTATTAGCCTAAAATGAGTGATAATGAAAGTGTTGCTCTTGCTAGTAGATTCACTCATTACAATTATTAAATCTCAAATGCACAAAAGCCAAGATGTTATCCTTATTATTTTTTTTTGAAGATGGTGTTGAGAATAATCTATGCAATTAAACTTTACCAATCCCACAAGTCTAAATATAGCCATACTGGATGACATTGTGAATGGGAGGAGGAACCATCAAAATTAAATAGCCTTGATAAAAAGAGGTACTAATTTGCCAACTTCCAGAACAGCATTTTCAAAGGGTTTTTCTTTCTTCAGAACAATCCTAACAAAATAGATGGTGTCAAAAACTTG